CGTGTGTGAGTGTGTTCCGTACACGATGGCTACACCTGCGGACCCCAACCGTCCTACAGCCACAAATCATTTTTAAGGCCCGTAATCCAGGAGGTTATTAAGTTACTTCCCACAAGTCACCATCTGGCTGGGGGGTTTCCCATGTGGGTGGGGTCTCCTGGCACTTCTCGAATTTCCACAGCTTGGATGTCAGTCCCTGATGACAGACTTGCAGAGACTCTCCCCGCCTCCCAGTTCATGTCCTCCCTTCCTCCCCTGCACTCCAGCCATGTTTCCACTGCTTTAAACGGAAAGGGGAGGAGGTGGGTATCGGGCAATCAGCATGTATAGGACACCTACTACACGCCAGACCCCGCTACGGGAACTTTCTGCATTTGGTTCACATGAGCGTCGTAATAACCAGTAATAGGAGTGATTGTGCCCATTGTACAGATTAGGAAATCAAGAGTGTGCCACTCATTAAAGTCAAATCAGACATTTGAATGCAAGGTTGTCTGACCTTATAAAAATCATATATGTCATGCTCTTTCCACTAACATCCTTGCCTTTGATCTCTCCAGTTGCTTCTTGGGAAAATCTCCCCACATTTCTTACAAACTGACCGTCCTGGAGGAGGAATTCTCCTTGATCTATGCAGACACTGGTGCTTACTGCCTGCCCGGTGCCCTGGACAGTCTATCAAGTGCACAGGTTTCCCCTCCCACCCTCCGTCCTGAACCCCCATGGTGGCTCTTGCCCCTGCTGTCCATTCTGGCGCTGGGTGCTGGTGCTCAGCCAGCCACTCCAGATTGGTGCCCTGATCAGGCTCGTTGGCTCCTGGATGCTGACTTCTCGACTTGGCTCAGTGCCCAAAGGGCTCTCGCCCTCATCCCAGCTTAGGAAGGCTCCCGGCCCATCCCTGGTCCAACGCCACCGCATCTGCATTTCCAGGAAGGGGTTTGGAGGATGGAGAAGTACAGACCTCACTGGAAACCTCAGAAGCCAAGAGTTTCTGATGCGGCTGCATTAGGGAATCCCCAAGGAAAAGGGCACCAGGCCTCACACACGCTCGCATTTAATCCTCATGACCATCTTGAGAGAGGCAGTGTGAGCTCCACACGCAGGAGGACACAGAGGCCAGAGAGGAAAAGGGTGTGCCAGGGTGTCAAGAGTCCGGGGACTTCTCTGGGGAAAAGGCTCCATTTGGCTATCAGCAGAGACAGGGTCTCGGCTGGGAGAGCAGAGGGGCATTACCTGCACTGAGTCCCTGACTTTCGCCCCTGGCCTTCACCAGCATAAGTACTGATACGGCTACTCTTGATTCCATAACAATGCCGTGCCAACAACGGTCCTAAAGGTGTGTGTGTGTGTGTGTGTGTGTGTGTGTGTGTGTGTGTGTGTGTGTTTGTATATGTATGTAGGTAGGTAGGTATCCATCTACGTACCTAATCTCATGTTTTATATAAATCATATATACGTATCTAATCTCATGCATATATGTAAAGGTCATTTCATCACTAAAGAGTGACTACGCACATAGTGAAGACATGGAAACAACCTCAATGTCCATCGACAGAGGAATGGATAAAGAAGATGTGGTACATGTATACAATGGAACATTACTCAGCCATAAAAACGAATGAAATAATGCCATTTGCAGCAACGTGGATGTAACGAGAGATTATCAAACTAAGTGAAGTAAGTCAGACAGAGAAAGACAAATACCATATGATATCACTTATATGGGGAATCTAAAATATGACACAAATGAACGTATCTATGAAACAGAAACAGAATCATGGACATGGAGAAGAGACTGGTAGTTGCCAAGGGGGAAGGGGTTGGGGGAGGGATGGAGCGGGAAAGCTGGGTGAGCAGATGTAAGCTTTTATCCAATATATAGAATGGATAAACAACAAGGTCCTACTGTATAGCACAGAGAACTATATTCAATATTCTAGGATAAACCATATGGAAAAGAATATTAAATAAAAAGAACGTATATACGTGTATAACTGAATTACTTTGCTGTACAGCAGAAATTAACACAACATTGTAAATCAACTATACTTCAATTTAAAAAAGAGAGTGACGAATGCCAACAGCTGTTCTAAACATTTCGTATACAGATAAAATCTCATTTACATATGTACATAATCTCATTCATATATCTTTCCTATATGTGTATAAATCTTATTTATATAAAACCTCACATACATACACACATATGTATACACATATGTAAATAACATTAAACCATTAAATAGTAACTGTTCCAAAAATTACACATAATGACACTTAGATAATCTCATCTGTGTGAATCTTGCATATATAAAATCTTACATATATAGGAAAATCTCATTTAATCATTAAAAAGGCTGTATGCCAACTCTTTTAAATATTATATATAATCTAATTTTATATATTACTGTCTTTTACATATTTAAGTAAATCTCATATATATAAAATCTCATATATACATCAGTCACGTGTGTGTGTGTGTGTGTGTGTGTGCATGCACACACGTGTAAATCTCATTTAATCATTTAAAAACTCCTTAGGAGGCAGGCACGGTTGTAATCCCCAAAGGCTGAGCGAGCTCAAACACCCCGTGCATGTGATACCAGGACTCAGCTGAGCTCCTGGCACCTCCACTCAGACCTGCTCCCCCAAGCCCTGGAGTGGTCCCTGCCTCAATTTGGGGGCAATTCCACCTTTTCAGCTGCTCAGGCCCCAAATCCCAGGATCACCCTTGACTCAGTTCTCTCTCTCTTAGTCTGCCTTCAAAATACACTCAGGACTTCACTCCTTCTCATTACCTCAACTGCCCCATCCCTGAGTCAAGCCTTCGTCAAAGGCAGATGATGGTCAATTACAAGAGTCTCCTGTGGGTTCCCCTTGCCCTCAGCCCCCTTTTGCCCATAGTCACAGAGCGAAATCTTAAAGCGCAAGTCAGTCCCAGCCACGCCTTCCCACACCCTCCCACCTCCCTTTCATCTGAAGTCAAAGGAGAATGAGGCTTTAGCGATTTATATGTACCCCCTAAAACTTAGGGGACACAGCAGATTGGCATCTGACTCATGCCTGAGAAATTCAGCGAATAAGAGGCCAACTAGTTGACTAGTTATAGTACACCAGTGAGGCAGTAGCTCCTGTCTGGAAGTTAGCTTGCACGCCCTGATCTGTGTGGACAGAGGTTGCATGAATGCTCCCCTGAGCCACACGGTGTCCGGGAGTGGCAAAGGGCTGGCATGGGGATCATCTTACCCTAAAGGGACAAACAGACCTCAACTGACGAAGCTGGCAGGGGACCACCGGACTCCTAGGGACTGAAAAGGGAGTGGTGGGCTGATGATATAGAGTTTACTTGGCAGTTATAAGAGACTGGCCACCATCAACTGAAGAGGTCACCGAGAAACCCATACGAGTTCCCTGAGAGTCTATGAGGCCCAGAGGAGGAAAGCCCCCATGTGACAACAGCACCATTTGGTCCTTATAAAATCTTTCCAGTTCTCCCTAATCCAACCAGAAAAAGAAATGAGAGTCAGCAGGAATGAGTGAAGTCTTGAATGAAGTTGGAAGCATTGATGCTTAAATGGAACATGGCCATCTTCGACTACTGAATTGATACTGTGTTTGTGACTTTATATTATTTATTGGAAAGGTCCTACAGCCTACCTGGGCTGTCATCTAGGGTGCGGTCAGGACTATTCCGTTAAGTCGACTTAAAGGGACAGTGAGAGACAAAATAAAGTTGCTTCTGGGATTATACTCCATTACTGCTTATTCAATATATTGGTGAGTCATTTAATTGTTGATGTGTCTAACCAGATGGGAGCCTCAGCCCACTTCCTCTCATGATTGGGCAAGGGCTTCTTTCAGTATCATATCACATCAGTGTTAGCCTGTGACAGACAGTTAAAGGAAGAAGGGTTTGCCTTATAGATGCTACACTCTGAAACATCTGAAGGGCCTCGTCCAGTCTCCTAGAAGGACCAGAAGCAGTCAGGAGCAAAGGACTTCCCAGGTTTGACCTTGACTACTTGGGATGGAGTCAGGACCTCAGAGAAAGGGTAAACAGGCACACAAGACGACAATGATGACACCAAGAACAAGAGAAAGGGAAAGGAAAGGGGACCAGCACAGGGAAGATCCTGGGCTCCAGCCAAGGCTGGCGGGCCCACACCGACAGAAAGGGGACCCGAAAGAAGATTAACAATTAACGCTGCACAGTCTTCTAGACTTTGCAGGTGTTCACGATTGTGTAAAGTGTTCTCTCTGGTACTGCGCCGTGATCACTCTGAGAATCACAGCAGGATTACGTGCCTTTCTCACATTCTTGGACCCCAGGCTTCTGTAAAACGGGGACTGTCTGAGTCATCTGTGCCTTTCAGCACCTGTGCAGCCCGCGAGAGCAGGGGACTCAATACTGCTGCTGGATGGACGGACAGGCAGATGTGACCTTGTGCAAATCCCTTTCCCAGAATTCCCTGCTGCCACGAGCCCCCGAAAGTCTCCTTCTTCCTATTTCCTGCAGCCTCCACGTCGTCTCCGGAGCCAGGCATCCTCAGCAGTGTGTCTTTCCTAAGAGCCACATTGTGATGACCGAGGCAACGAGAAAGGATTCTGCATAATTCCTCAGTGACAAATACGGTCGTTAGCCACGTGCAGCCACTGGGATTGTACAAAACCAAGCTCTGTGGAGGCTTATCTCGAGTGAGGAGGGGTCCCTATGCAAAGAAACATTCCAGGTATACCAGGGAAGGGGTGAATGAGCCTATCAACCTTCTGAAAAACAGTACCAGTGCCCTCCCAATCAACCACCAGCCTGAATAACTCGAAGCCTCAAGGCCGATGTGGGTGAGGGCATCTCTGCTCCCCAGGAAACCAGACACAACTTAGAAGCCTCAGATGTCGCAACCCCCTGGAGGCCCCAGAAACTCCTCTGTTCAGAAACCATGGAACCTGTTTGTGAACCTTATGTGCAGGCTAACGAAGGGAGAACACAAGCAAACGCAGACGGAGTTTCAACCTTTTTATTCAAAGCAGCTTCTCACAATGTATAAATACTGCATATTAGCACACATGAAAAATACAACTTCTAAGGCACCCAGAAATGTGTTCATACACGTTACAGGACCATTCACAAAGAGAGTGTACAATTTGCTCTAGACGGTCAGCATTTGATAAATCAGAAGGTTATTATCCCTCCGTACTGCACCCAGTCTCAGGGAATATTTACAGCATGGTGAGAAAGGGGCAGCTGTACCTGCTTTAGCAGTCTATGAATTACTCATACTTACAGATACTCAGAACTAGTTAAAGACTCTCCCATGATAACCTGGCGAAAGAAAATGAGTAGCCTAATTTGCAAAGGTCTCCTTGGATTTTGGTGTGTGTGCTATATCCATGATCAAATCGGAACACTCCCAGGGTAGGCTGGATACTTTTTTGGTAGCCTGCTTCAATTATCAGAGGCTTGGTAATAAGCCTTACCACTAGAATCCCGCTTCTTCAGTATCAATCATTTCTCAACCGGTTAATGGATGAACGATTTCATCATGGATGAAGATGGAGCATTACCTAGTGTGAGAAGTGAAGAAAATTCTTCTCGGGCTAAACAGGAAGTGGAATGGGTTGATGGAGAACAAAAACGAGGTGGAAATCTAGCAACTGCAGGATCTCAGTGCTCAGTGTAGACACATCTGAAGAACTCACGCTGGAGGTTTCTATTCAGATGGAGCAGTCCACACTGCTCAGATAACCTGAAGAATGCCAGCCCCCCGCTCCTTATGGTACCGGTATGGATAAAGGCTGGGACTACACAGCAGAAACACCAACCTGAGACAGTGCATTTCAATCCGAGAAGCTCATCTGTCAGAGCCTTCTCAAGGTGACGACAAATCCTTCTGTAGGGCCAGCCAGGGGGAGCATGAGGTCAGCGGATGGGAGCAGATTCTCTGTGCCATAAAGCATGTACGTCTCTGCCTAGATGTGCCCACAATCTATGAAACTCGTACTCTGCTGGAATAATGGAATTCTTTGGTCCTTGGTTTTATGAAAGGCAATATTTTCACAATCCTGTCAGCATGGACATCAGCAAATGACTTCAAGCTGGGACGAACGGCACAGGGACACATTAAATACTAGATGGAAAACTCCACACCCTCCAAACTTCCCAGAGTCGCCTTAAGGAGCACCAGCGTGAGGCCAGGTGTTGGGCCAATGAGGCGTGGTCAACCCACAGAGATGCCAGAGCTGAAGCTGAAAACTAGATGTCAGTTTCTCTGATTGACGCACACACTGCAAATATTTGAAGCAAATCTCCATCCTAATGGGAGATAAGTTGACTTTATGAACACTTATTTGAGATGAACCAAATAACTTGACTTTAGCTATTCTATGGCCCTGGTCTCAAGATCATCTTTAAAGCCTTGGTAAGGAGAACCAGTAGGTAAGCAGGGCCAACTGAAAAGAATCATAATTTTAAAAAAAAGAAATTTAAGTTCCAAAGTTTAGTTGGTTTTTATCAGATCCCAGACACAGTGGACACACTGCCAGTGAGCTCCATGACTTACACGCCATTCAAACAGCCACGGGTAGACTGGCTCAGCTGATGTGTACGTTGTGCATCTAGTTTGCCTGTGCCCTGCTAAACTCAGGTTCAGTATGGCTTAACGCACCTACTTCACTGATAAGACACTCAGGACATGTGGGAATGCGGATTATGTAACTGAAAGCGACTTCAGATTGTCTACACAGTAAGACTCACATGTAAACTTTGTTAACATCTCTCAAGGAGTGCTGACCACAGCCAGACTGGACATTTCCAGGTCACCTGCAAGGAGCCTGGAGTCAACCGCCAAGGTCAGGAGCAGAAAATGCCATTGGTTCAAAACAAATGATGGACCAGTAGCCCTCCCTGTGACCACATCTACACCATGTGACTAGCATGAAGGTGGCTCCAGAACACCTGTCCGTGGTCCCTTCGTGTGGCCAAAGACAATCACCAAGGTGTCTATCTGGGCCCTGCCGCCATCAACTCAACCAAACTCTCCAGATTAGCCATGGCGTACAGACTGCACAGAGTCCATCCACGTGGCTTACGCTACTTGGAAGAAACAACCCGTATTACCTTTTTTTTTTTTTTTTTGCAACAAGCTTAAGGCTCTGTTCACAAACTCCATCAACTGGCACACAGTGAGAATTTATGGAGAGATCTTCAACTACATATGTAGTTGCAAAGGTTGGAAAATCTACTGATCCTAATGGTAAGGCTTATTCACAAATTCAATACATTTTCAAATTATACTTCAAACTCACTTACTTTGAGAAAAGGAAAATTAACCGGCTCTCTTACAATTTAAGAACACTAGATTCTAATGGAAAACAAAAAACAAAAAACCATTGGCACCAAACCAGAATGCTATTTTTTTGAAAGAACAAGTGATATTAATGGAAAAGATTGCCTAAAACGCATATCCTAACTTATCACAGAAATATAAAAGTTTATATTCTGAAAATATATATTGTATTAAAGTCTGTAAGCATTTCAACCAAAATTTGCAGAAATAACTAAGCAACACTTATCTACAACAAAAATATACATGCAAGACAACCCCCAAATGGTTTCCATTAAATATCTACAAAGGCAAAGTGTAGATTTTTAAAGATTATACAAAACCATTTACAGAGAATAAAATAAAATACTTAAGAAATCTCATTTAGAGTCTTAAATACTGTGTATATTAGTGAGGATGTCTAAACTAATATATACAACAGATCTAAGTATCTGAATACAGAAACACAGAAGAGAAGCAATTCTGCATTTTAAATATTCACTTAGGAAGATCTGAAGATGTTTCTACCTGTTTCTCTTTGTTAAAAAAATTTCCACAAAAACTAGATTGGAAAATTACATGAATGTGACTAAAATTTCAAATTAAAAAAAGTTTACAAAATTTTTTAAACCAACAATTAATAATGGGAAATGCAATTCAGCATCCAATCAAGGCTATCTTTTAAATGTGGATATCTGGAGATCCAGTTGCACTGATCGAAGTCTACTGTGATTATCATTTTTCCATCCTCATACTAAACTTCATATGGGAAAAACATATTTTCATGCTTCAGAGAGAACATCTCCTAGTTTACTTTATACCAAACAAGAATAACATTTAAAATCAATTCTCTACTATTTTCTCAGAGTTATCCACTTTCATTCCAAGAGGGTCACTTTTGATGGTTTTCACCCACAGACATTATTTCAAAGCAGGGAGGGACATATGGGTATATCTACCTTAGGCTGAGGCTTCCAAATGGTGAGGAACTCTGATCCTCTTAGCAGAGTTCTCCAAAAAGTCCTCCTGGAACAAGGCTGTTAACATAAATGTTCCACTGCAAGATGCTGGATGCTAATCGCCAGGGGTTGGAGAAGAGGAGAGTTCTAATGCATGGCTAACAGGATGGCAAGGAGTGGATTGTCCAGAAGGCTGCTTGACTAAAGAAGTACCCTCATCTTCCCACCACAGCTCTTCTTCCAACCCCAAAGGTAATTCTGGGATGGGGCTACCAAGACCAAGCATGATTCCTCCAAGAACCTGCCCAGGCTCTGGGATGTGACCGCCTGGGTGGGGAGGGGGCAAAGCAGAGTAGAGAGAAGGGAGGAAGGATCCTATGGGTGGAGAGAAGGTCCTGGGGTAGAAGACAAAAAGTGGGCCTTGTCTCAAGAGAGCTATGAGGTTAAACCCTGACACAACAACAGGTCTGGCAAATTCCAACCCAGGTCGATCAGCTGGAAGTTTCCTGGATCTCACCTATACATTATCAAAACAACTAACCAGAAAGTGAAAAATTCAGTGGTTTGGTCTACCCTGTAGCAAACAGATGTAACTGAGTTTTGCCCAATATGTGGAACATCCTTCTAGAACTGGCTGTATGGAAACAACCGAAACACAGACTGTCTTGTAAAACACCTCCTGTTATACACGAAACCTACAGGTTAACACCAGGCATTCCATCTTAGTGATGGTTTCACATTCCTACCTCATCATCAGAGATCCTTGAGGTGTTTAGAAGTTTAGATTTGATGATCCAAAGCTATGTTTTAGTTCAAACCTAAAACACTTCTGGTTTTTTCAGCAGGGAACAAAGATGGGCACTGAGCAAAAGGAATTTCCAAACATCCTCTTCCATTCCAACGAGAATCCTAACACTGCTTCTAGGGACGTTGAACGTGGCTGCCCCTAGAAGGTAAAAAGAAAACGAAGTGCTCTTTCTTTAGATGACTTAGTGATGGTTGAGAAGTTATCTGTCAAGGGTGAGGTCGTCTAGGGCCTTTGGTCTCAAAGGAAAAGACAAACCCAAATTGAGATGTGACAACAGGTATTTGGGCAAAAGCAGGTGTTTCCCTGTAGAAACTCCCCATCGTCTAGGTCTGCAGTTCCTACAGGAACCCCCATGGAGCAAGGGGAGGGTACACAGGACTTCAGCCCCATCTTCCTCTGGCTGGATTCAGCCAGGGTGGCTGCCCCCCAGCCGAAGCGAGAAGAAAGTGAGACATGTCCTCTTCCCTGAGCCTCGAGAAGTCATGGGGAAACTCAGAAGGAGAGAGGCTTTCAACAGAGGGAACCAAGACCATCTGGAGGACGGAGAATCCAGGTAAACTCAGGTTCACTGTTTAAAGGCCTATGTCTCTAGTTCTGCTATAGACAGTCCACCTGTTCTCCGAAACACAAAGCTCAGGGCATGAGTCCTCTCCACCTGCCCAGTCTAGTGCATCCAGCTGCCTTCAGGGGAGGGAAGAGGACCAGAAAGGGAGAGAGAACTGTAACAGTGGCCCTCCCTCCCCTCAGCTGGCCTCCCCTCCCCCAGCTGTGCCTAACTCTTACTGCTCAACTTTCTCTGCGGAAGGGTCGAGAGGGGCTGGTGACTAACAGAGGGTACTAGTAGGAGACGGGGGAGCAGAGGTCCTTGAGGACACCTGGGGGGGGATTGTGATGGAAATGGAAAAACCCCGCCACTCTGGGAACCTAACTTTCTCTGGTGCTTGACCCTCATACAGAACATGGTCCTGTCACTTCTCTGCTTGAACTCTGATGTTTACGTTCTCCTCTCCAACCAAAACCAAAACCCCAAACCAAAACCCCTCCTTCGCCACAGCTGACCCAGGGGCTTTGGGCTGATGGTCTGCATACAAATGCTGGAGCCCCCCTGCGGCCCACACGCCCTGGGACAGGAGGCCTCATCCCTGGTTACTGCTCCATTACTGGACCATTCAGGCGGGAAGCCCCATTTATCTCCTTAAAGGGAGCAGAGTGAAGAGAAAACTCTTCCATGATTTCTCCTAAGAGCAAGTATGCAATTGTCATAGAACTGTTTCACACGCAGGAAATCTGGGGCAGAGCTATTCCTTTTATTCACAGAAATCCCGTTTTCATCTCTCTGAATTTTATTTCTACATGGTTCACTGCTAGAATGCACCAAATGGCATGAACCTTGTATGGGATTTGGTCCAGGGCAGTATGAAAATAATATCTGTGTGAACAACAGATATCATAATATATAAACAAAAATAAATAAATTAAATAAGTCGGGTGAAAAAAAAAACATTTTCCTAGTAGTTATGTGTTTGCAAAACTAGCTTTACATATAATACACATAAATTATCAGAATTTCCACTTACATTGTTTTAAAAATATATATTTAACAAAATGCTCCTAAATGTACAATATCTGGGTTTGTAAATCACTCAATTGGGTTTTAAGACCAAGCCCTAGAAGTCACGCAGATTTGCATCAGAGAGGAGACTGAGGCTGGATCTACACAATCGTTCTGCTCATGGGTCTAGAAATTCCCTAAGATTGGTCGTCCCGTCACTGGATCTGTACTTAACCAGACAGAGCCATGGCAGCCAAGTTTCCAAATCAGAGGCACTGTGTAGACACAGCCTGAGTCAGAGGATGGGGAAATGGGTCTTCCCCTTCCTGGACCAGGATGGTGCATTTCAGCAAGTGGGGAGAGGACAAGGGCACCTGGCAGAGGACTGGGAAGATACAGCCCTCGATAGCTCTCCAGCCAGTTGGGGTGGGGACACAGGGGAGGCCAAGTATGCTGCGTTTCCCATCATTACACAAAACCAAACCAATGAGGAGCAACCAAAGGACACGAGGAAATGGACACGACCCTAGGTATAGCGAGACACCTTGACAGACTCCTTGGCCGGGAATACACTGTGCTCTGATTTCTGAAACACAGGACAGAGCTGGAAGTCACCTGCCCTTGAGCACTGGGCCCTCAGACTTCATAAATTTTGTCCTGCAGGTAGCTGAACAGGGAATCCAGGCCTTTAGAGGAACCCCAGAGCTGTTTGAGCATGAGGCATTCTTTCTCGTTCACATCTTCAAGCACTGACTTCAGGAAGCTCCGGACGAGGCATTTCGACTCCTCCAGCACCTGGAGGGAAACACACAAGCCTCATTAGCCTGGCGCCAGGGACTCTGCTCCAGAAGGATGTACTTAACCTCCTCATGTCCCAAGCCAGAGGAGGTTGCCTCCTCTGGTCCGGGGCTTCCCAGGCCTCTGCCCTTGGCAACGGCCAGGAATGGATTGCAGGCATGCTGAGACGTTGAGCCCTCAGACCTTGGGATGGCTGAGTGGGACCCGCATTAACCTCAACTGCAGGAGTGACACTGACATATACTCAGAGTCACTTTCTATGGATGTCATGAAAAAGTTTGGGAAATACTGCTTTCACCTCCCCATGCTACCTAACTTAAGAATGGCTGGGATCACAGAGTAAGATAATGAAATGAACTAATGGTTGTCAAAGTATCCATGGGACCCACCCTGACAGCAATGCCCCTTGGTCAGGCTTAGTAGTTAAGAGTAGTAGTAATAAAAGTAGTAATAAAAGTAGCAATCATTGTAATAGTAATAACAATTGCAGTAATTGTAGCAATGAGCAATAATAGTGGTAACAATAGTAACGCTATAGTATTATAGCGATAACAGTAATGTTAGTGGTAGTAATAATGGCAACAACACCATAGTATTATAGCAACAATAACAGTAATGCCAGTGGTCGTAATAATACTACAGTATTATAGTAGTGATAATGGCTGATATTAGTAATATAGTAGCAATCACGGTAATAATAGTAATAAATCATAAACGTGAGTAAGAACAATGGTAGCAAGCATAGTGGTTAGAATAACAATGCCACTACCACCGTTAGCCGATCGGCTCTACGATAGGCACTTCTGCATTCTTTTATTTCTTCCTCAAGTTAACTGCACAACTAGGTAGCCATCTCCGCATTACAGATGAAAGATGTGAGCTCAGGAAGTGAAGGTGCCCCGAGCCGCCTGATGGGTGTGCCCTGCCAACGCCTGGCTGATTCTGCAGGCTCCACGCTGCCTCGGTCTGGCAGAGGCATAGCCGGAAGCCGGGCGTCCGAGCATCCTTCCGCTGGCCTCCACCACCCTCTGTGGACCTGGAGGCTCTGGTCCTCAGTCTCACAAAGCGCTTTCCAACAGAAAAAAGCAAGACAAGAGCTCCCTTGCTCAAGCAGGCTGGAAAGGGGCAGTGATCTCCCTCAGCTTGGGCTGGAGGCGAATGGATGGTAAGAAAGGGCTGGCAGACCAAGGGTGCCTCTTTCCTTCCAAGAATTGCTCTCCTGGGGTCGTGGGGTAGATTCCCATCTTGGGTGAATCACCCCAAAGCTCCTGAATTCATACCTGTGGGTGGGAGAGGTTTCCTTGCAGTATTTCTTCAAAAGCCGGTTTCATCTGAGCACCTCCACTGCCCAGAGACCAAACTCCTCAGTGGAGCCTTGGGGCCTTTCTCCTCCCTGCCTTTTCAGTCTTATCATCCCTCAGCTAGCCCCTGCACCTGCTCACACCACCAGGAGCCGCTGCTTAGACTCCACGCAGGGTTTTGGACTTTTGTGCCCTCACTCACACCGTTTGCTCCGCTGAGAACTTCCACCCACCTCTCTGTGCAGCTGCCCCTATGTCACCAATCCTCCCCGTTTGCCCAGGCTCACGGGGTTTCCTGGGACTCGAGATTTTTGGTGCTAAAACCAGGAGAGTCTCAGGCAAAGTGGGACGAGTTGGTCACCAGAATCATCAGGAAGATTAAAAGAGAATTCACATAAAGGGATAAGCAAAGTGCTTGACCCAACAAGGCTGTACCATCCCCACCCTGCCACTGTCACTGGGACCGACAGGCTTCCGGGGGGCAGAGCTGACACACAGTATGTGCCCAGTAAAGGCTGATGAGCCACATCAAGAGGGGAGTGGCAGCTGGGTGCAGCCTTGGGGTAGACAGGGAGAAGGAAAGGGGTGGTCACGGGTCAGCCCCACAATCCAGCCCAGCACCCCTGTGATGCTGAAGCACAGAAAGCGTCCGGGCCTGCTGCTCCCAAAGCACCTTCCTCGTTTCCCACTCGGCCCTTTCTCCACCTTCAACAGGATATTTCCATACAGCGCTCAGAGAGACTTTGATGAGATAAAATCGACACAATTAAAACCCGGTGTCTCCACGGAGGTGTTATTTATCTGTTTTTCAAGGTGTCTTCAGAGTCGAACCGGTTACATGTGCCAAGCACTGGACAGGCAGGAGAAATGAGGTACCAGGACAGCGGAAACCACTTTTTCTCATCTCTCAACTGGCTTCACACCCTCTGTCCTTATTCGTCTTTGCTTCTCATTTCTTTGAAAACCATACATGATTTGTATTTTCGTGCATGTTTAGGACTTTCTTTAAAGGCAACCCTTCTACCCCAGGGTATAAATCTCTTCTGTGAGGTTTTCACACTAGAGCTGATGGGGAATATCTAACAGTGCTGACCACCTCCCTCTGGATTTAAGCTCTCAGCACCGAGATGCGGCATCTGTTAAATCACATACTCCCTGCGTGACCTTTGGCAAGTCGGTCACTCCCTTCCGGCCTCGTTGCCCTCACCTGTAAAATGGGTCTACTGCAAGGACAGGGCACAGAGACTCGGGAACTCACCACCGCGCTGCAGGAGGCCATCTCCTTGACCCGCAGCATGACCTCCTGGCTGAACGTGGTTGGCCAGAAGACCTGTGACACCAGGCCTCTGCTGCATGCCTCCTGGGCGGTGAGCTTCCGCCCGCAGAAGAGCATCTCGTTGGCCTGAGAAAGCAAAGGCAGGAGAAGGCTGAGAGCTGGCACGCCTCCAAGCCTGCTCGCGAGCCCGCCTGCTGTGCGCAACTGTCCCGGCTCCCAGAGGCAGCATCCTTAACCGGGGGCCAAAGATGCTCTGGGGGCTGCTTGCACACGCCTGTGTCTATGTGCGTCTTTCTGCACAGAGGGCCCACAGCTTTCACTGAATTCCCCTAAGAAGCCATGTCCCTGCAGGGGCTCCGCCTTCAATACTCACTTCACCCCCGCCCCCGTCTGGTGGCAGGGCTGCAGGAGGAGACGTGTGTCGGGCTGGGAACAGTTCACAGCTGATACCCCTTCCTCAGTGACTGATTCAGGGAAGAGCAGATGAGCCACCCGAGATATTAAAGCTGTCTGTGAGGTCTCCAAGCTGGAGAGGATGGGGAAGACACTTCCTCCCTCTCTCGTGGCTTAAGTCACTGAGCCCAGGGCCACCCACTGCTGTGGAGAGGGACGGGCTGCCAAGACAGCAGGGATGGAGAACAAGAGCCCTGCCGGCACTGGGATTCCTGGGCATGACACCCCCAAAGGAGGCTCTACTGCTGGACCTGCCAGTTACGGCAACCGTTAAATTCCTTTCTTCCCCTCTTTAAGCCAGTTAAAGTGTTTCCATCACCGGCAGCCAGAAAGGTCCCAAGTAAGACCATAATCCCAACGCAGAGAGGCGCACCCCTCCCAGTGACCCGGGGCTGTGCATAGGCAGTGCCCAGGTACGAAGGGCAGAAACACCTCCTGCGTCCTGCCGTGTCCTCTGCGCCCCACCCCCCAGAGAACTTCCCCTGACTTTGAAGTGTGCAGCTGTTGTACACGGTCTGGGAAAAGCAACGTGGGAAAGGTCCCGGGCACAGACAGAGCCCAGCGCAGTCACCCACTGACACCAACAAATGACTCTCCCGCTGATAATTAGGGCAAGATGGTCACGGTCCCTCCCCCACCGCCTTCACACAGCAGACAACCCAATCCCTTCCCTGACTGCTGTCCACCTGCCTCCCCTGTCCCTCCCTTCCCGGCCCTGCAGGCTTAGCCACTCTCAGATGGATGTTGAAATGTCAAGCTCTCCCAGCCTCTGGATCTGTGCACATGCCTCCTCCCCTTTTGTTCTGGTTGTCACTGGAGGGTCATGATGACCCAAGGGACAATCTTTCACGCCCGAGGAGCAAAATTTGTCAGGTTGGTAATAAGCCTGTGGATGCATTCGGCTGGACGTTTGAAGACAAATACGTGTCATTGAACGTATTCAGAAACACCGTCTCAGGAAGGAGGAATGTGAGGAAGGAACCCAATAGAAGGAGCCCACCAGGACGCAGTCGGGGGAGAACACGTCTCAATCAGCAACATCCTTGGAGTTTCAGAAATGATTGAAATAAAAGAAACGATAAGGCTGTACAAGGTTAACATTTTTGTGACCAAAAAGGAACCGGGCAGAGCACAGGGGCCGAGATCGAAAGGGAAAGTGCCTGCTTTCGGGGCTCCCTGGCTGCCCCACCTTCCTACCACTGCTGAGATGGAAGCCGCGGAAAGCAGCCCCAGCTCCAGAGTCCGAATGGCCTTGCAATCCACCTGTCGGGCCTGCTGCTAGACACCGGCTGGCAGCAACTCTGGGAAGGCAGAAGAAGCTGAGACGGCCCCCAGATTCCACAGGCCAGGAGCACCCCCGGGACTCGACCCACATGAAGGGCTGTATCCTAAACCCAGGACAGAGGAGGGGTGCTGTGGGACCCAAAACCCATGGGTCACAGGAAAGGACCCGCCACAGAGGGGAGGCTTACCAGTGCGACACCCAGGATCTGGGGGAAGGTATAGGAGGAACAGCCGGCGGGCGTGAGGCGGATGGTGGCGTAGGGGGTCTGAAACCAGGCTTTCTCGCTGGCCCACACGATGTCGCAGAGGGGCAGGATGGAGGCTCCCAGGCCTAGCGCGGGCCCATTGATCGCCACCACGATGGGCTTCTTAAACTGGATAAAGGCCTTCACAAAGTCCCTGGGGAAGAGAGAAGACCCTCTTTAGCAGGTGAGCAGGCCTGCCGAGACCCACGGACACCCTTGATTCTGTCGAGGTGGAAATAAGTTTCCCCAGGTGCTGGGAAGCACCCACAGATCATGAGGGAAGTGGGTGCTCAGCAGGGGTCTCATTCTCCCAGACACCGAGCCGCAGAGCTGCAGGCACAGGCGTGGCACACTTAGTGGGTGGTACCAGATTTTCAGAGGGAAACTCATGGGGTGATCACGGTTTGCCCAGAGGGCCCCAGGTCATGCCCGTTGTCCCAGCACTGCACCAGGCTACCCTGTCCTTCCACCCCCTAGATATTGACAAAGTGTAAATATCCTTAAGGAAGATCGCTTGAACGTTAAGGTTCTGAACAGAACCAAAAGGAGGGTGTTACAAGGAAGGGTACGTGAACTCAAGGAGAGAAGGAACATTCTAAGGGCACTGGCGAGGGTGGAATTGGTGGCTTTGAGAGGATGAACCTCTTATTATTCGAGGTGCTCCAAGTTTGCTCCAATGGTCACCCTGGGTGATGCTGTAGAGGGCATTCAAGCTTCAGATGGTAGGCACAGGTGGGGATTGATGACATTTAAGAATTCTTTCAGTCCTAGGATTGTCTGATTCTCAGTTACCTAAAGACATGCCAGACTCACCCGGGGTGGATCCAGAATGCTGACAAGGGTCTCTATATTTGGGTGGCTTTGACCAAAACTGGGGAAGGACGCTGGGCTCCCCTGGAGGTGTGAGGCATCTGGCACCATGCCTACGAATTAGGCGATATACTATCTCCCTGCCCTTCTGCGTTGAGCAAGGTTACAGGGTGCATCTTTAATATTAAACAGAGACACCTACAATAAACCTCTACTTCCTTGCCTTAGAACACTTTTCACCTTTCCCTTAGTTGCTGTATTAAGGTCTATAAAATTTTAATATTCATGTGGACACAGAGGAAAGATCCAGGATGTCTAGCAAAGCTTGCATCCCTCATTATTCTCAGGTGGAAGATCGGAAATTAACAAGAACTCACAAAAATAAAATCCAAACTCCTGACCATGACCTTGGTCTGCCTCTGCTTACCTCTCCAGACTTATCTCCTGTCTCTCTCACCCCTGTTCACTGTGCAGGAGCTGCACGGGCCTTCTGAGAGTTCTTGGAAAACACCACTATCACAATTTGCAATTATCCTAATTATTTGCTTCCTTACTTGAATTCTCCTCCCCCTTTAGTTCCTTAAGGAAACTCACAGGTCTGCCTTGGGCACTGCTTGGTCTCCATGCATACTGGAATTAACACTCAGTAAACAATCTCCCAGAATGAGAGCAAAGACTGCAGATGTGTAGCGGTGATGCACGAGCTATTCACCAGACCTGGTTTCCCTTCCCTCTTCTTCCTGAGGCTGCAACTGGAACACGGTCCCCAGGCTCCCTTGCAGTTGGCTGTGGCCCAGTAACCAAGTGCTGGCCGATGGGATGTAAGTGGAAACCAAATACACACTTCCGGGTCTGATGCAAGGAAACCTCCCACCACACAGCCCCCCAAGCCCTCTCATCTTGACAAGCATGGCAGTCTTGGAAGACCTTTGTTGGGCCGCAAGATGGAAGGAGTTTGAGTTCCTGAGTCACCACTTGGAGGATAGTCATGGGCTGATCAGCAACTTCTGTTCTAGGTCCACATACATGTGAAGTAAATTTCTATCACAGCTGAGCTGTTATATACATTTGGGGTTCATTTGTTACAGCAGCTAATACTTAACTAATACAAATGTCGAGCTGATTTATCCCTTCTCAGTTGATACTATTCTCCCCGAATTCTTATCAGAAGATGTGGGTATCACGGTGATATGCTGGGAGCAGATGGAACTGTGAGAAGACGGCTTAATACTCCACTGGGGTAGGGGGCATCTTAGGACCTCCATGTTGTCATGAAAGTACATGCCCAGGCTTGAGACGTCAGATTTCCTGACATCCGTGTGATTCTGTGAGTAGATTCTCTGTGAGGTATCTCAGTCACTGCTGCCCCACTGTGGCTGATCCCAGAAGGATACTGCTACCCAGAGGGAGACCTGGCACCACGGCCTTCTGAGTCCTGGTTTTCCAGTGGCCCATTTCCTGGCTCGACTTTCTAACTTCACGGCTTCAGTCACTGGTTTTAACAAGTGCTTTTTACCAAATGCAATTTGGAGTCTGCAGGAGATGTGGGGCTTCCTTGTAGGGTCCTTGGAACCACAGGGTTTGGGTATTTTTAACAGATGTTCTACTCCTAAATCCCCTCATATGATTCCAGGATCTTGGATCTCAGAGTTGGGAAGGACTTTAGGAGGCACAGAGCCATATGACAAACCCACAGCCAATATCGTCCTCAATGGTGAAAAACTGAAAGCATTTCCACTAATATCAGGAACAAGACAAGGTTGCCCACTCTCACCACTCTTATTCGACATAGTTTTGGAAGCTTTAGCCACAGCAATCAGAGAAGAAAAAGAAATAAAAGGAATCCAAATCGGAAAAGAAGTAAAGCTGTCACTGTTTGCAGATGACATGATACTATACATAGAGAATCCTAAAGATGCTACCAGAAAACTACTAGAGCTAAGCAATGAATTTGGTAAAGTAGCAGAATACAAAATTAATGCACAGAAATCTCTGGCATTCCTATACACTAATAATGAAAAATCTGAAAATGAAATCAAGAAAACACTCCCATTTACCACTGCAACAAAAAGAATAAAATATCTAGGAATAAACCTACCTAAGGAGACAAAAGACCTGTATGCAGAAAATTATAAGACACTGATGAAAGAAATTAAAGATGATACAAATAGATGGAGAGATATACCATGTTCTTGGATTGGAAGAATCAACATTGTGAAAATGACTCTACTACCCAAAGCAATCTACACATTCAATGCAATCCCTATCAAACTACCACTGGCATTTTTCACAGAAATAGAACAAAAACTTTCACAATGTGTATGAAAAGACCCTGAACAGCCAAAGAAATCTTGAGAACAAAAAATGGAGCTGGAGGAATCAGGCTCCCTGGCTTCAGACTATACTACAAAGCTACAGGAATCAAGACAGTATGGTACTGACACAAAAACAGATAGATCAATGCAACAGGATAGAAAACCCAGAGATAAACCCAAGCACATATGGTCACCTTATCTTTGATAAAGGAGGCAGGAATGTACAGTGGAGAAAGGACAGCCTCTTCAATAAGTGGTGCTGGGAAAACTGGACAGGTACATGTAAAAGTATGAGATTAGAACACTCCCTAACACCATACACAAAAATAAGCTCAAAATGGATTAAACACCTAAATGTAAGGCCAGAAACTATCAAACTCTTAGAGGAAAACATAGGCAGAATGCTCTATGACATGAATCACAGCAAGATCCTTTTTGACCCACTTCCTAGAAAAATGGAAAAACAAAAATAAACAAATGGGATTTAATGAAACTTAAAGGCTTTTGCACAGCAAAGGAAACCATAAACAAGACAACAAACAAAAGACAACCCTCAGAATGGGAGAAAATATTTGCAAATGAAGCAACTGACAAAGGATTAATCTCCAAAATTTACAAGCAGCTCATGCAGCTCAATAACAAAAAAACAAACAACCCAATCCAAAAATGGCAGAAGACCTAAATAGACATTTCTCCAAAGAAGATATACAGACTGCCAACAAACACATGAAAGAATGCTCAACATCATTAATCATTAGAGAAATGCAAATCAAAACTACAATGAGATATCATCTCACACCGGTCTGAGTAGCCATCATCAAAAAGTCTAGAAACAATAAATGCTGGAGAGGGTGTGGAGAAAAGGGAACACTCTTGCACTGCTGGTGGGAATGTGAATTGGTACAGCCACTATGGAGAACAGTATGGAGGTTCCTTAAAAAACTACAAATAGAACTACCATATGACCCATCAATCCCACTACTGGGCATATACCCTGAGAAAACCATAATTCAAAAAGAGTCATGTACCAAAATGTTCATTGCAGCTCTATTTACAATAGCCAGGAGATGGAAACAACCTAAGTGTCCATCGACAGATGAATGGATAAAGAAGATGTGGCACGTATATACAATGGAATATTACTCAGCCATAAAAAGAAATGAAACTGAGTTATTTGTAGTGAGGTGGATGGACCTAGAGTCTGTCATACAGAGTGAAGTAAATCAGAAAGAGAGAGACAAATACCGTATGCTAACACATATATATGGAATCTAAGAAAAAAAAAATGTCATGAAGAACCTAGGGGTAAGACAGGAATAAAGACACAGACCTACTAGAGAATGGACTTGAGGACATGGGGAGGGGGAAGGGTAAGCTGGGACGAAGTGAGAGAGTGGCATGGACATATATACACTACCAAACGTAAAATAGATAGCTAGTGGGAAGCAGCCGCATAGCACAGGGATATCGGCTCGGTGCTTTGTGACCGCCTGGAGGAGTGGGATAGGGAGGGTGGGAGGGAGATGAAAGAGGGAGGAGATATGGGAACATACGTATGTGTATAACTGATTCACTTTGTTATAAAGCAGAAACTAACACACCATTGTAAAGCAATTATACTCCAATAAAGATGTTAAAAAAAAAAAAAGAGGCATGGAGCCCAGTCTTCCACTTGTGCAGAATCCCCTCCACAGCCTCCCGAGGACGCATCATGGCCTCTGTTGAACATTCTCAATGAAGAGGGTCCATCCCTATAAAGGCGCCTCCCTGCCGAGGCCCTTATGTGAGCCCCTCCGATGCTCCTATTTGCTCTGCTTCACCATCCACACGACAGTTCTTCCAGCATTCACCTGGGCCCTCATGACTTTCCAGAAGCTTCCCCTTCCAGACCCAGAGACTTTCATGCTATTGTTTCCAACCTGAGCTCTGTGCAGAGGCACCAAGGACCCCCGAGGAGGGCTAAGGGGCCCAGGTGTGCTCAGCTCCGACCCTCCACCCCCAAGCTCCCCTGTTTCAGTCCAGCAGCCTCATGAATTCATTTCCTTGATATAAAAATGTGATGCACAGACCGCTCTCCCCATCCTTTTCCTCTCACCTCAAGCAGTAGATCTCTATCGCGAGGGCCCGCCGGATGTGGGAGCCAGACAACACACAGGATATTGCATTACAGACGCTGCCGCTCAGATAGCTGATGCTGGTCTGCGTGGCAGGGCTGCGCTGGGGAGGTGGCTGGCCGTCTTCCCCCGCGTCAGAGTCCCTCAGGCTGACACCAGCCCTCGCTTCTCCCTCCCAGGCTGATGTGGCAGAAGGAGCAGGAACTTCGGGGTCTGAAAGACTTGGGGTCAAGTCTCAACACCGCCCCTCACTAGTGGGGAGACCTCGGACAAGTTACCCAGTCTCTGGAGCCTCATTTTACTTCCTGGAAAATGGGAAAGCCAGTGGGGGTGTCCACAAGAATTAAATGTGATGGTCCACCAGAGGCACCAGCACACTGCCTGGCACACAGGCCACTGTTATCACGGTTGGCGCATCGGCTACGGAGGGTGGACACAGCTTTCACTCCATTCTCAGTGGTCTGTAATCTGCTCACCTGGCCTGAAGGAGACTCAGCAAAATTCTGCACACGGCTATTTCTGGATTTCACCTGGAGCACTTGGCAACTGTGACCCCGTTATCCAGTCCCTTTAACCGGAGCCGTACAGTGCAGTCCTCCCACTGCCAAAGTTCAGAGCCAAGGCAGCCGGGACGGGGCCTGTGAGCACCAGGTACACACGGTGACAACCATCCTGGGCCGCCCCCAGAAGCCCACTCCATAGTCAGACCCAGGCTTAGCTAGAACTTGCGGCTGGAAGTAACAGGAGTAACAATGAAAATAATTCTTTACACTTATTCTAAGTACTCATTCGGGCCAGGCACGGGTCAAGTATTGCACACAAGTTATCTGATTCCTCTTTGTCCCAGCAGCCTGCCAGCAGGCCACCACATCCCCTGTGAGGAGTTCAGGTGAGGGCAGCCTCTCATCCAGGATTGGGCGGACAGCTTTGCTTGGATCCTGGATAGAGGCGTCTTTGGAATGAGTCATCTGAGCTCTTCCCACATCTGCCAGTCCATTCAGCGAACATCTGCAGAGGGAACGCAGCTTCCCGGGCCATGTGCACGCATGTTTTCTTTACGAAACTTTGAGGATGGGAAGGGAGCACCGCTGGGGGTACTGTGGCTGCGTGGCCCAGCCGACAGCGTGCGTGTGCCGGGAGAATTGCAAGGGATGCCCGCAGGTGATAAGGTCCTGTGGCCAAAATATGTCTCAGCCATGCCAGATTGTGAACGAAGTTCTTTCACAAGAGACTGCTCAGACAGTAAATACGTTAACTGGAAAATCCGAAGGAATGGGGACAGAACTCATTTATTGACAGAGCCCCTCGCTCACGATGCTGCTCTGGAAAGCTACAGAACAGTCTTTGGGGAAGGCTTCTCTGCGCTGTGTTCCTGAAACTTCTGGTGCGCTCAGTCAAGGTGCAGAAGCCTCTTGGTTGGTACGGGGCAGGGGTTCTCAACCCTGTCTTCATATTAGAAACACCGAGGGAACTTTAAAACCCCCACCTCACACACATTAACTCAGAAGCTCCTGGAGGGACAGCCGAGCAGCTGGGTTTTGGAAAAGCTCACTGGGCTGAGAACTGGTGGCCCAGGGGACACCCCCACTCCATCTCCCTGGGTCCCTGCCAGCCCACGAACTAGGAAACTCCGCTTCCTCTGCCGCCTTTCCCTTTGCTCTGCCTAAGAGAAACTCTCCTTCCTGAGGAGATGGCAACTGTCTGAGCTCCACTGGCTGCGTTTCTCCAGAGATGAGGTCATGCGTTCAGCATCTCCTCCAGTTTGAGACTGCAGCTAATGCCACCAGTGAAACTCGTAAACCAGGTGAAGGCTACAGCCACGACTTTGCTCAGGCCACAGAGGTAGGCGCCCCATCTCTGAGAGTCCCATAAATGAGGAGGGACGCTTACGGGGGACCCTGCTGCTCCCCTCACTATGTGACAAAGTGCCTGTGAAAGGACAGAGCCGAGTGGAGCAAAGAACAAACCTCCGTGTACACGGCTGGGCTATCTGCACGTGGGCAGCCCGAGAGCAGCCTGAAACCACGACGCCTTTTCTAATAACTGCCTTCAGGTAGCCCACGTCTCTTCCAGCAAGAATTCTGCCACGGGAAGTGCACAGGGGTTTTAGAGCAGAGATTCTAGGGGATGCTTCCCCCTAAAGAGGGACTCAGAACCCCACATATGCAGGCGTCCCTGTGTCACCTCTTGGAGGCTCTGCATCCCCTGGAAGCCTCCCTTGCCTGTGGGAATCAGCTTCCGGGAGACGCTGCCAGAGCCCAGTGAGACTGGAGGCCACAGAAAATCCCTAACATGCGGCCGGAGGCTCCACGACTCCACGCAGAGTAACTGCTCCTTTTCAAGTGACCAGGAGGCATCCCTGAACCGTGGCTTGTCTGAGGACCACATAAGATGCAGCAGTGGGCATATGCGCCCTTCCCAGGATGCAGGACCCGTGACACCCTTGCTGGAAATCATGACCACTTGCTTTTGACAAATGCATAAAGAATGGGGAGATAACTACCCTTCAGTGTCCCAGAGGAGATGCTGATCTTTGGGATTGGCTGTCACCCCGAGGATCCCACTTTTTGCCCCAAAGGCCATAAGACAGTGGGGGAACATTCCCCACCCCATTGGATCTGCATATACACAGCTCCCCACATCCATCCTTCTCCCCAGGGCTGAGCCATGTCAGCTCCAGGACGCAGGGACCTCCAGAAAAGCAAAGATTTCACCATCAGGCAGAGGGTGGGAGTAGTGTGTATAATACTTGGGCATTACCAGACACTGGGCTTAATATGAAGAAATAAAATCTCTTTTTGATCAAAAGAATAAAGTGGGATATAACCTAGAGTGTAAAAGCATCCCTAAGTTTGGCAGGAAAACACTGGATGCCCAATTAGAATCTGAATTTCAGATAAACATCAAATAATTTTTTTAGTATATGTATATCCCACGTACTGCATGGGTTGGGATATACCTGTGCTTTAGAAAATGTTTCATTGTTTGAAATTCAAATTTAACTGAGCAGTCTGTATTTTTTTTATTATTATTAATTTTTTTGGCTGCACCGCGCAGCATGTGGGATCTTAGTTCCCCAACTAGGGATGGAACCCGTGCCCCCAGCCATGGAAGCGTGGAGTCTTAACCACTGGACCGCCAGGGAAGTCCCTGAGCAGCCTGTATTTTTCAGTGGTAAACGTGGCAGCCCGAGGCAGGTCCCCAAGTGTTTGAACATGAGCAGGGCTCACCTGATGGCCTCTGCAATCCGGGTGCTCTCCTTCCTCCGGTCACTGGACAACCGGCCAATTAGGTAGGAGTAATCCAGGCCACTGCAGAACACGCTGCCCACGGCGCTAAGCAGCAGCAGTTTGCTGTCGTCCGTGGCCGCGTTGCAGAGCGCGCGCCGCACCTCCTTCATGATCTGTGGGCAGAGACGGATTTGCGGGGGTGAGTGTCCATTTGTAAGCCAGGGGTCTTCAGACCTATGCCGACCCCTGGGTGCAGAGGCCAGTCAGTCTACTCGGCCTGTGCAGGGAGCCTCCCCTGAACACACGCCACGTCCAGACCAAGCAATGAAACGCCAAACCAGACACCCTGCACCATCCCGGAAGCAGCACAGGGTGCTAAGGAGGTGCCAGTGGGGTCACTGGCTGCAGACTCGGAAGCCTGGCGTGGAGCCATCTAAGCCCTGGTAAATCTCTGCAGATCTTCCTCCAGCATTCGCTTGTTTAGCCCTTTCTGAGGGGTGGGAAAATACTCCTGTGCACAGCCCAGGTGAGGTATGTTAGCCAGCATTAGAAGGCCCGGTTTAATTACACTCTTCCTTACCCTAAACTCCACTAAAATGCTCACGTGGCTCATAGGTGGCACGTAGGAAGTGGGCTTTGGCAACAGACCCATAACGTTTTCCAGGTGCTGAGGAAAATAGCCATTAAACACGTATTCTGTCTCCAGCTAAACCATCATTCAAAGGCAAGGGTAAAGAGTAGGCATTTTCAGTTAAAAGAATGTCTGCCACCCTTAGGCCCTCACTGAAAGAACTAAAAGAGGATGCACTTCAAGAAGAAGAAAACCATGTTCAGAAAGAAAAACTGACATGTAAGGAACAGCAACCGGCACAGAAAGTGGAGAATGTGTTAGTAAATCAATATAAGAATTGACTGTAGGGCTTCCCTGGTGGCGCAGTGGTTGAGAGTCCCCTGTGGGTTCATGCCCCGGTTCCGGGGAGATCCCACATGCGGCTGGGCCCGTGAGCCATGGCCGCTGAGCCTGCGCGTCTGGAGCCTGTGCTCCGCAACGCGAGAGGCCACCACAGTGAGAGGCCCGTGTACCGCAAACAAAACAAAACAAAACAAAACAAAAAAAGAAAAAAAAGAAGAATTGACTGTAAAAATCATCATACTGATAATGGCTAATTGGAAGCTGGGGTTTTACACAAGGTAGAACTATAGCCTTAGGCAATAATATTGGGTTAGATGACGAGAGTTAGGGCGTGCCGAGGTTATGTGTCTGGGAGTGGTGCAAAGGGTCATGATCACGTTTAGGCTCCGCTACATGTACATAGCTTAAGGAAAACTTCTTAAAAGTACGTGAATTACAACTAATGGCTGCGGGGGAGGGGCAAAATAAAGAAAGCTCCATCACTCAATCCAACAGAGGTTAGGGAAGCAGGAAAAATAAGTGCAAAAAGTGCACGGTAAGAAAAAACAAGGCATTTACTTGCCTGAGTGGAGCTGACAGTCCAACAGGAGAGACAGTAAAGGAACAGGCTTTTAAAGGATTGTTATTAATTATTCAAAAGGCAGAATCACAGGGTATAGTGGGGAAATTTTATGAGAGCATTGTTTTTTAAATTGTACTTTAAATGACACACACCCCCGCCGCCCCGCTTAATTAAGCACTTAAGAGGGGTCAGGGATTGCATCTGTTAACTTCCACGTAACATTTTACTCCAAACAAAATTCCTGTAAGGTAGGGAATGGTATCCCAATCTTGCAGATGAAGCAAGGAAGACTCAGAGAAGCAAAGTAAGTGGTTCAAGGTCACCAGTAAGAGGCAGAACCAGGATGCAAATCTCACCCCTACGTCCCTTCTCTGTCCATGACTGCACACTGTAGGATGACTTAAATAAATGGATGAATCTTTGTGGAAAAAAAACCAGGCCTAGGCGTCAACCTGAATCACGACTCTCGGGGTCTGAGCTCTGTGAGAAGGATGGGAGAAGTACTTTCTGCTCTTAACAGGGGATAAGCCACAGATACTCACTTTGAACATCAGAAAAGCTAACAGGCCACTATCATGTGGGTCCTTTAATCCATCTGACTCCAGAAATAGACACACTCTCACCTAGATATGAACTCTATTTCTCCGAGAGGCAAAGAAAACCCTGCTCTGAAGACATGAGCTGCACTTCTGCGTGTGACTCTCCATGCGAGGGCACACGTACTTGTCAATTAGTAAAAACAAAATCAAACACGGCGGCTGCCTCCTTTACGAATTAAGTGGAAAGTGGCTTTGTGCTTTGTTCATACAACAAAAGTACATACTACATTTTTAATTTTAAAAAACGTATATATCTAGTTAGTATGCCCTTCCTTTCCCTTTCTCGTGTTGATAATCCGATTTGGACTGATGGCTAAGGTGCCACCTTCTCGAAGGACCACGCCCCATCCCACCACCTATTTTATAATGTAACTGGTGTGTTTAGAGTAAAAGGTTCTAAAGTTATTACACACTCCTTTGCCTTCTTAAACAGAACACATGGCACACGTGTAACTACCTCTCCAGGGCAAGTGCTACAGCCTGTAAAGGAGCAGTCCCCTCAGAAGCTCCCAGGGCATGCTTCTGTTACAAAAGGGGCCAGACCATGGTGCATCTGGAAGTCCCAGGTCCGTTCTGGAGATTCACTGCCCCTGCTCGGCTCCTGACAGCCACTACCTGCTCCTGCGTGAGTGTCTGCTAGAGAAAGCATGCTCCTCCCTGCCACTTCTACCTTTCGATCTGCCACGGGTTGGAAGCAGATGACCAAATCCATTAAAAGCGGGTATAGGGATTCTCTGGTGGCGCAGTGTTTGAGAGTCCGCCTGCAGATGCAGGGATGCGGGTTTGTGCCCCGGTCCGGTAAGATCCCACATGCCGCGGAGTGGCTGGGCCCGTGAGCCATGGCCGCTGAGCCTGCGCGTCCGGAGCCTGTGCTCCGCAGTGGGAGAGGCCACAACAGTGAGAGGCCCGCATACCGCAAAAAAAAAAAAAAAAGGGTATAAAAAGGGAGCAGACCAGGGTCCCTCTCTCTCCTTCATCTTTACTTGCTGAACCCAGTCACCCAGGGCCCGTCTCAACTGCGACCACCCTCACGAAGGCCTTCCCAAATACCACAGACAAAATGCCACCCCCTCCTTCCCCTGACACCCCAAGTACTTTAAATCCCTGCTCTGACACTTCTACAAACTCCCTGGTAGAACGGGTGTCTCCTTACTTTTTCCTGCCTCCTTCCTGATTTAAACCCCTGTGACAGGCAGCCTCTAAGGCAGCTGGTATTCACACCTGTGTGCAATCCCCTCCCCTCGAGTACAGACAGGACCTAGTGACCCACTTCTAACTGAGAGAATATGGTAAAGTGATGGATGCCCCTTTCAAGAGGAGACTAAGATACAGGATGACGATAGCTTGTCTTGGCTGTCCTCTCTTTTTTTTTTTTTTTTTTTTTTCTGGCTGCACTGCGAGGCTTGCGGGATCTTAGTTCCCCAACCAAGGATTGAACCCGAGCCCCAGCAGTGAAAGCGCCAAGTCCTAACCACTGGACCACCTGGGAATTCCCTCGGCCGTCCTCTTTTGCCAAACCTCTTTCTTGGAGCTCTCGGTCCAGGGGATGCAGGCTGCCATGCTGTGAGTACCCCTATGGAGAGGCTATGCCATAGTCCATGGGGAGTAGCCAATGACAAAGAACTGATGTCTCTGGCCAGTGAGGACCTGGGACCTGCCAGCAGCCAGCTGGAGGTGCCTGAAAGTGGAGCCTCCCCCATCGAGCCTTCAGGTGAGACTGCAGCCGCAGCCAACACCTCAACTGCAGCCTTGTGGGAGACTCTGAGGCCGAAGTACCCAGCTAAGCCAAGCCAGCACACTTGACCCTCACAGGCTGTATTTGTTGTTTTAAGATGCTAAGTTTAGAGCAATGTGTTATGTGGTAATATAACTAATACCATCCCTTAGGAGTTCAAATAAGGACTTCCCTGGTGGCTCAGTGGTTAAGAATCCGCCTGCCAACCGAGGTGACACGGGTTCGATCCTTGGTCCGGGAAGATCCCACATGCCACGGAGCAACTAAGCCCATGAGCCACAACTACTGAGCCTGTGCTCTAGAGCCTGCGAGCTACAACTACTGAGCCCACATGCCACAACTACTGAGCTCAGGTGCCACAACTACTGAACCTGCATGCCGCAACTATGGAGCCCACATGCTGCAACTACTGAAGCCCGTGCTCCACAACAAGAGAAACCACCGTGATGAGAAGCTCACAAACAACGAAGAGTAGACCCCGCTCACCACAGCTAGAGAAAGCCCATGCACAGCAACGAAGACCCAACACAGCCAAAAAAAAAAAAGAGCTTCAATAAAATAGTATTCTACTCATCTGTTTAGCCCTATAACACCAGGAAATTGTGCACGTAACACAATTTAATAAATGTTTGTTGGATTGAGTGAATGGTACAGTGTTTACCTCCTCAAGAAGTTTAGAGTCTAATGGAGGCAATCAGACATTTCACAAATTACCACACAGCTACACATACACTGATAACTGGGATGTGTTCCAGGAGGGTGAGTGCAGAGGCCATGAGAGACAGACATAACCTGGTCCAGGAGGGGAGGGAAGACTTCCTTGTGGAAGTGGTGGCTGTGCTGAGATCCTTAGGAACAGCAAGGTTCAGCTAAGCCAGGAGGGAAGGAAGGCTGCTTTAGTCAGAAAGACAGGCATGTACAAAGGCCCTGGGGCAGGTGTGAGCATGAAAGAAAGCCAGGGTGACTGGAGTGCAGCAAGAGAAGAGTGGAAGTCCCAAATCCTTTCTTGAGATTCACTGCCCCTGCTCTGCACTTGCTAGCCATGTGATGTGAGATGAGGCTGGAGGGTCAGAAGCACCAGCCTCACCAGCAACATTAGTTAAGGGTTTTGATTCTTATCAAGAACCATCAGGAGCCATTGATGTCTTTGAAGTGCGTGTGTGTGTGTGTGGGGGGGGGGGGTGACTTGATTGTATTCGCATTTCCAACAGATCACTCTGTCTTCTGAAGAACGGGTGACAGGGCAGGAAACATGACAGTGGGCAGACTTGTTAGTAGGTTATTACAATAGTGCAGACAAAATAGCTAGTAGTGCGGGCTCTCATGTTTGTGATGGAAACAGAAGGAAACATATGAGAGCTATTTAAGAATTAACTGGCTTGCAGATGGTGTGGATATAGCAGGTATGATCAAGACGGTGTGAGGTGTGCCCCCGTGGAGGGTGGTGGTCTGTCTGCCGAGGCTGGGAGCCACCAAGAAAACCAGGAAGAGTGAGGGCCTGAGGTCCTCTCCTAATGGGAAAGTGAATGAGCTTTTAATCACCAAGACACTGGACAATCTATTTTTCTGGCTCTTTCCTTAAGGGGCATTTTCGTTATTTTCCTGGCTCTTTGCTATATTTCAGACAGGAGAAATATTACAACACACCTGCTAGCCTCAGAATCTAGTTAATACACCCAGTAATGTGTGAATTTCTGCCCATGAGGCCGATCCAGCCAATGTCTCATATACAACTAGAAAAAGAATTCAGTTATGACGGTGAAGGAGGCCTCCTTCCAGTCCCTCCATGAACGAGCAGGGCTGGGCCTGCTGGTGGCTGTTAAGTCACCTCCGTTTCATCTTAACAATGATAGGAACATTCACTGAATACCTCCAGGTGCCAGGGACTCTGAGAGCCTCTTTTGCAGATATTATCTCTAATCCCACAGGGAAGATACTGTATAATTTCTGTAAACGAGAATGCTCAGAGAAGGAAAGTAATCCCAAGGTAACAGAAGAGGTAAATTAGTGGAAGGAGGGTTCAAACCCGGTCTGCTAGGTTCCTGCGCTAACTCTGTACCCCTCCCTAACACCACCTCCTCATTTCAACAGGACCTTCATTTCGGGGCTACTTTACCCAGTTTGCCAATTTATCCATAGAGTCAATCCACTTTGGTTGCTGAGAGAGCTGAAAACACCCGATCAATGACTGTTTCTCCGTCTTCCTCCTGCTCTGTTACTGACAGACACCAGTTAGGAGTAAACCCCCAAATTAACCAAGCCCGCGGCTCGGGAAGTGAGAACCCGGGCACCTTAAATCACTTGAATGCCACACGTTTCTGTGATGAGAAGGCAACAGTTAGTACACAGAGCTGCTCCCAGAATGAGCTGGGAGACTTCTCATTTATTCGGTTTATCAGAGGAAAATACTGTGCCTTTTTCAAGCACGCTTTTTATTTTTTTTTAATACATTTATTTATTTATTTATTTTTGGCTGCGTTGGGTCTTCGCTGCTGTGTGTGGGCTTTCTCTAGTTGCAGCGAGCAGGGGCTACTCTCTGTTGCAGTGCGCGGGCTTCTCATTGCAGTGGCATCTCTTGTTGCGGGGCACGGGCTCTAGGCACGCAGGCTTCAGTAGTTGTGGTGCGTGGGCTCAGTAGTCGTGGCTCGCAGGCTCTAGAGCACAGGCTCAGTAGTTGTGGCACACGGGCTTAGCTGCTATGCGGCATGTGGGGTTTTCCTGGACCAGGGCCTGAACCCGTGTCCCCTGCATTGGCAGGCAGATTCTTAACCACTGTGCCACCATGGAAGTCCCAAGCACCACTTTTTAAAAGTAGTGAAGCAGAAAAAAAGTCTAAGCAGAATCGGTCTCGTGTGAATGTTTCATGATGAGCTTAAAATAACAAGGCTTCCAGGTGTATAAACATGTGAAGGGCGGCCTTTGGGGTAAACCACAGACCCCAGGCTCTGAGTCCTATGCAGAGGCCTACACAGCAGAGAACCCTGAGGTGGTTCTGCTGAAGGTGGAGGGGGGAGAGACCCCCAAAACACCATGCTTAGAAGAGGGGCAACGAGCAACCAGCAGCCCCCCTAACTCCACAGGCTTGAGCCACTCTCTTCCCTCACAGGTTGACAAGCATTCCTGACTGTCACCCCACAATCCCGAAAAAGAGCCACAGTCTATGTAAATCATAATGACAAGACACGTGATTGCAAGTTCAAGGACACAGCATCTCCCACTCCACCCACTTCAGGGGCCACGCTGAGTGCACTGGACATACTGGGCAGTGCCAGGCCACCTAGCCATCTCCATCTGGCTGGGCAGCCACTCCTTGACTGTGTCCCACCTAAAAGAAAACACACCCCTGTGGTTCACCCTCCAGGTCTGCATGGCTACGGTGGACACTGGAGTGCAGGATATCAAGGGACAGAAAAAGGGGGTTTTCACTGAACTGTCTTCAATGGGCCAGGCGCTGGGCTGAGGGCCAGGACAAAAGGATGGGTGAAAGTGGTGAGGGCCCTGCCCTCCTGAAGCTCTGTGACTCCAGGCCTGTTCAGTTCCCTAGGCCTACCCTGTGTCCTCTGTAAGAGGTGGATCATAATGATCCTACATCAGAAGGGTACTGGTGGGATGAAATGGGATAAATAGCAAACATAAAGCCTGAAGAGCCACTACTAGCCACACCAGTCGTTTTTGTGATTGATCACTCTATGTCCTGCCCAGGTCGGTCCAGTTGGAGAAGACTGCTTAGATGCCCGTCTTCCTACATTTGCACCGGTAACAATCTCTTCATTGCTCCCTACTAAGTATCCCATATTCTGAATGGTGTTGTCTACCTAACTGCATTAAGCATTCCCTGTCCTATTCATCTAAGACATAAGTAGCATTAGCATTTTAAAAAGTAGTAGAGGGTGCTTCCCTGGTGGCGCAGTGGTTGAGAGTCCGCCTGCCGATGCAGGGGACACGGGTTCGTGCCCCGGTCCGGGAAGATCCCACGTGCCGCGGAGCGGCTGGGCCCGTGAGCCATGGCCGCTGAGCCTGTGCGTCCGGAGCCTGTGCTCCGCAACGGGAGAGGCCACAACAGTGAGAGGCTCGCGTACCGCAAAAAAAAAAAAGTAATAGAGGAAAAAGATAAATTGGACTTCACCAACATTTTAAAAATTGTGTATCAAAGACTACTATCTAGAAAGGAAAAATACAACCCATAGAATGGAAGTATCATAGCTCTGATAAGGGTCTAGTATCCAGAACATACAGAGAACGCTCAAAACTCAATAACAACAACAACAAAAATCCCATTTTTAAAACTAGGCAAAGGATTTGAATAGACATCTCTCCAAAGAAGGTAGACAAATGGCCAACAGGCACCTGAGAAGATGCCCAACATCATCAGTCACTAGGAAAATGCAAATCAAAACCACAATGAGACAGCACCTCACTCCCACTAAAACGGCTATAATAGAAAAGACAGACAATAATAAGTGCTGACAAAGATATGGAGAAATTGGGACCTTCACATACCACTGGTGGGGATGTAAAATGGTCCAGCCACTGGGGAAAATAGTTTGGCAGTTCCTCAAAAAGTCAAATATGGAGTTACTATATGACCCAGCAATTCCATAATCAGGAATATATCCAAGAAAACTGAAAACATACGTTCACACAAAAACATATACACAAATGTCCATAACATTATTTTTCATGATAGCCCAAAGTGGAGACAATCCAAATGTCCCTCAACTGGAGAACTAATGGACAAAATGTGGCCTATCCACACATGGAAGAGGAATGAAGCACTGATCATGCTACCACATGTAGAAACCCCCAAAACACCGTGCTGCGTGAAAGAAGCCAGTCATGGAAGACCATGTACTGTAGGATTCCATGCATACGAAATGTCCAGAATAGGTAAATCCATAGAGACAGAAAGGAGATTAGTGGTTGCCGGGGACTTGGGCCGGGGGAGAATGGGGTGACTGTTAGTGGGCACAGGGTTTCCTTTGGGGGTGATGGAAATGTTCTGGAATTAGTGCCGATGGTTGCACAACCTTGTGAATATACTAAACACCACTGAATGGTACGTTTTAAAAGGGTAAAATTTATGGCATGTGAATTACATCTCAATTAAAAAAACTATAAGCGAGCTGAGTGAATATAATTCCATCTAAAGCAAAGAAATCTGACATGCTGATTATAATGCAGTCTCACTGGAAAAGCCCGAGATATGATGCTTGGTTTCTGGGGCTAATACTAATTCTGGGACCACAATCAGTTTATTGAATCTCTCTGTTTACCGGGGTCTTCATCTTCAAAATGGGATAATATGGTTACTGGTCGTAAATATCAGACGGAGTAAGGTGATCAGTAAATGGGGTCCCGCGGTCAAGTCTGCACGAGCGTCGGCTGTCTCCATCCACTCCTGAGGGCACAGAGAGAGAGCCAGCGCCCTACTGTGACTGCCTCAGAGTGACACCCACCCCCCATCCTGCCCCCTCACCTCAGGGGTCAGCGCGTTGTTGTCCGAGGTCTGGCTGGACAGCAGGATGTGCGTGAAGCCCTCTTCCTTCCGCACAACAATGTCCCGAAAGCGACAGTTGCTTTCGTTCTGGCGGACGCTGTACCTGAGCCTCTTGTCAAAGACGTAGTCCTTCTCCGCTTCCAGCTTCCTCTTCACCGAGCTGTGCAGGTTTAGTCCCCCGTTGGTCAGAGAAGAGCCTTCCAAAATCAGAGGAACAAAGTGAGAAACTGACTGGGGAACAGTTACACAGGAGTGTGACCAGAGAATGCTCAGATTTTCATGGAAAGGGTCCGATGTGGCTGGGACCCATGTGCAGCTCTGTTCTGGGTGGTGAAGGGCCTGGGACTTAACGGCTCCAAACTTGGACGAGCACAGAGAGGGCTCTCTGTGAATGACCCCATGCAATCCTTGATTCCCTCTCCCACTCATCCATCCGAGAGCACCCAGCTTCTGCTTGGATGCTTTCAGCAACAGGGAACCCGACAATGGCCACGAAACAAAACAAACAAAACCAAAAAACTGCAGCTTTACTCATAATAACCCAAAATCAGAAGCAACCAATATGCCCTTTACTAGGTGAATGGATAAACAAACTCTGGTTCATTCACACAAAAGAATATTTGGCATACAAAGAAATTCATTATCAAGCCACAAAAATACGTGAATGAATCTGAAATGTGTATTACTAAGAAGCCACTCTGAAAAGGCTACACATTACATGATTCCAATTATGTGACATTCTAGAAAAGGCAAAAGTATAGAAACAGTTATAAGATCAGTGGTTGCCAGGGGTTCAGGTGCAATAAGAGAAGGGTGGAATTGGTGAAGCGTAGGGGATTTTTTTAGGGCAATGAAACTACTCTATATGATATTATGATGGTGAATATGAGACATAAAGCATTTGTCGAAACCTGAAGAACTACAGCATAGACAGTGAACCTTAAAGTATGCAAATTTTTTTTAAAAAATTAAGAGATGGGGGGAATCCAAGGATGGAATGCAGAATGTGATAAAAGAATCTAACTGTATGACAAACGTATGAAACCACCTCCCTGAAGCGGGTGCGGGGGGAGGGAGGCGCTGACCTAAGTAACTTTAGGAATGAGTGGAGTCTGTAAAATTAAAGGCCAAATAACCTGCACAGAAGCAGTGTACTCCAGCTGACAAAGTTGATCACATGGAGGTAAGTACGAGTTAACAATTCTGACATTATACATGAACGCTGGAGCTGAACAATTACATAAATGGATGGCAGATGGGGAGAAGAAGGTTTTTCAGTGTTGGAGTGGCAGTTTACAGGTAAGCAAGGGGAGGGGGCTAGAATGAGCAACGTGGTAATGGATGAGCACTGAAGACCTCAGTATGAACTCAATACAGATACAGATGGTTACATTCAGAAATATTTACAGATAAGCGTGTACAAACAGGCTAGTATATACATGTGTATTTCCTTGCTCTGTCAGCTGAGAGGGCCCCAGAGTCTGACATCCCAATAACAGTGAGCACACCTGGGGCCCAGAGCTTGGTTTCATTCTCAATAAAAGGAACCAGGGCTCTCTGGAGAGATGGCTGATTCCAGGACTGGGGCAAGAAACATGCAAGATAAGCTTGCAGAGGCTGAAAGGACGGAAGTACTAAAAAAACCCCACAATAAATAAATAATAATAACGACAACCTTCACAATGATGGGGGTATGTCAAAAGGACACAGCAAGTGAAAGAGCTCCCCATGGCCAAAGACGGCAGAATTTGAGCAACATAAAGTCGTATGTATTGCATTATAATTGAAAGCACAAAATAAATATCCATGAGTCCATACTGATATAATTAAATGAGATTGAATAAATGAATAAGTGGGAGACAAGAGCCAAATCTCCCATGGAGAAGAATTCCAAACAGTTTATGTAGATGCTCTGCTCTCAAGGGGGTAGAACATAACTTCTTTAAGGGCGGGCTGCACAAAGTGACTTCCTTCCAAACAGTGTGGAAAGTTGGGGGGCTCAGGGGGGAGAGTAACAGTAGAGAAACCTGACTGTGGCAGATGGAGAAGTCAAAGCCTTGTTGGCCACGTGATCAAGACCAACACCAACAGGGATAAGTCATGGCGTGGTGTGCACCCCTGACACGATGTGAGGAGAAGGGCGCTGGACCTCTGGGGTCTTCCTCTCAGAAACCTACATCCCCAGTCTAATCATGCAAAAAAGGTCAGACAAATCCCAATGGAGGAGAGTTCTACAAAATACCTGATCAGTATACTTCAAAACTGTGAAGGTCATTAAAAACCAGGAAAGCCTGAGAAACTGTCACAGCACAGAGGATCCTAAGGAAACATGACGACTACATGTGATGTGGGATCAGGATCTTGGAACAGATGTTAGGATAAGGGATGGACTTTAGTTGATAATGATGCATCAACAGCAGTCCATCAGCTGTAACAAATGTACCACACTAGTGAAGAAGCTCATAATAATAGGAGAGACTGAGTACGGGGTATACATGAACTCTATTATCTTTCCAAATTTTCTGGAAATCCACAAAAGTGAAGTTTATTTTAAAGAGTACATTTTAAAATTAAGTTAATTTTAAAAAACAAAACAAAACAAAAAACCCCCAAGAAAACCATTTCCCAGGCAATTGTGACTTACAGGCAGGTTTGAGACCCTGGACCAGTGGTTCTTACACTTTTTGTTTTTTAAAGATCATGAACATCTTTGAAACACACCTATCTACCTACCTACCTACCTACCTATCTATCTATCTATCTTGGCTGTGCCGGGTCTTAGTTGCAGCATGTGGGCTCTTTCAGTTGCAGCATGCGGACTTCTTAGTTGCAGCATGCGGACTTCTTAGTTTCATCATGCAAACTCTTAGTTGCAGCATGCATGCGGACCTAGTTCCCTGACCAGGGATCAACCCCAGGCCCCATGCATTGGGAGTGTGGAGTCTTACCACACTCCCACACTTACCACACTGGACCACCAGGGAAGTTCCCAGTTGTTCTTACACTTGAACAGGCATTCGGATCACCCGGAGAACTGTTAAACCAGCCTGCTGGGTCCACCCCATGCTACTGCCCCTGCTGCAGCGACCAGGCTTTGAGAACCAGGGTCTGGATAACATCAAGGTGGACTCAGATTCTTAGTTAGCATGGGGGGGTCTTGGAATCTCAAGAACCAAGTCAAAGGCAGGGACCAGGAAATGCTTCCCTGGGCCCTTTCCCTGCATACCCCGTCCCCACCCAGACGAGCGCCCAGCCCCAAAGGGGCACAGAAGCAGCAGTGCCTGTGTCACCTGACAGCCTCCAAGAAGCCTCCTCATTTTGTACTTTTCCATTACCCACAGCAACTGGGCTTTGTCAAACACCATGATGTGGGTAAATGATTCAATGAACTCCGGAAAGTAAACGCGAGCATTTAATTAAAAGCCTTGTGTAAAGGGAGCTGTTTCTTCAGGGTCAACCTCAAAACCTCCAGCTCCTCAGAAGCTTCCTAATTAGAGCTGGCAGATCCGTGCTGGGGACCTGCTGGCAGAGGTCAGCGCATCATGGGAGCTGCTCTCAGCGGCCACCAGCTCTTGGCCGTGAGAAGTCAGCAGCTCGGGGCTTGGGAAGACCAGTGCTACCCGGGGCTGGGAGAGGTCTGATTAAACTCCTGCCCCACAACCAAGTCAAGGTGCTGCTTTACAATTATATTAAGGAGGAGGACCTGAGGGTTACGTTTTCTGAGCAGCTCTGTACGCTGCCTCTAAATTCCTCAACAGTCCTACAAAACTGCCATTCTTACTCCACTTTGCGGATAACGAAAAGTGAGTAACTTGCTGGGAGCCGTGAAGGTTTGAAGTGGCAGAGCCAGGATTAGACGCAGCTGCCTCTCCTTTTCTCCATTCATTCAAAATCTAATTAGGGGCTTCCCTGGTGGTGCAGTGGTTAAGAATCCGCCTGCCAAAGCAGGGGACACGGGTTCGAGCCCTGGTCCAGGAAGATCCCACATGCCGCAGAGCAACTAAGCCCGTGCGCCACAGCTACTGAGCCTGCGCTCTAGAGCCCGTGAGCCACAACTTCTGAGCCTGTGAGCCACAACTACTGAGCCCTCGAGCCACAACTACTGAGCCCGCGTGCCACAACTACTGAGCCCGCGCACCTAGAGCCCGTGCTCCGTAACAGGAGAAGCCACTGCAATGAGAAGCCTGCGCACCGCAACGAAGAGTAGCCCCAGCTCACCGCAACTAGAAAGAGCCCGACGCAGCAACCAAGACCCAACGCAGCCAAAACTAAAAATAGATAAATTTTAAAAAATCTAATTAGTTATCACCTCCTATGGGCCAGCTATAACACTAGATGTTGGAGATGAAACAAAAATCAGAGAAATAAGGTCCATGCCGTCCCAGAGCTTGCTTCGGGCGTGGCAGATGGAAAGTAAACAAGTAGACTTAGTTAAAATAATGACAGATAGGAAAAGATAGGGTGACATGATAAAAAATATTGGGTGGGGGGTTCTCTGTGAAGGAGCCCATGGTCTTTCTGTTAAAGCATAAGGGGAAGCAGCCCTTAAGGAACCATCTGACCAAATAATCCATAAAACTATGTGAGGAAAACAGACCTGTTTATTCTCTATTAGGACACATGGCTCACATCTCCAATGGTGACTTGGAAGATGCACCATCTCTGGGCCAGGGAAGGGAGGAAGCCTCCGTGGGGGCCCGGATTCACTCACGTACAGCTGCGTAAAGTTACCTTTCTGGACCTAACTCTGACCTCACACGGAGGTGCTCTCAAGCCCACTCCTCTTCTGGGGCACCGTGCCTCTGGAGAGATGGGGGCAGGCTGGCAGGGAAGGCACCATGGGAAACAGAACATGCCGGAAGCATAGAAGTTTGGGGCTTTGCAGCCAGACAGCATGGCAATCCCAGCCCTGTGTTTGCTCATCAGGAGAAGCCAGGAAGCCACACGAGCCCTCGAGTGTCGTTTCCTTCATCAGAAGATGGGGTTAGTGGTACCTGCTTTTCATGGTTGTTCGGAGCTAATTTAAGGAATCGATATGGGATTAGCAAGTGCCTGGCTCATTCTAGGCACTGCAGAAATGTTAGCTGAAGGATGCCAAGTCATTCCAAAAATGAGGAATTATCTGGTGAGTCCTTGCAGCCCGCCTCTCGCACTCCCAGCCCCACACACTCCCTCCAAGCCCGGGGAACAGACCCAG